GCAGGGGCCAATGAGATGAAATATCAACAGGGAGGTCAGTGCAGGATCAAATCCAAAGCTGTGGTCACCTGTGTCTTGAGTATACACACTTCAATTTCTGTTTGCCTACACTATGAGTCATTTCCAATTGTTTTTGACATGAAATCTGACTTAAAATTCCAAATGAGATGTTTTTGTAGCGTATATCTAAAGCATTGAAAAGCAAATACATCTTGGAAAGCTGAAACACCCGAGTTGGTGAAAAGTCTGTTGACTCAACCCCCCAAGGCAGGAAATACTCAGGCCTGTACATATATCAGTTTCTGAGGCAGTGTTAAAATGGTTTCCACTGTGAATGTTATTGCATATTACCGTATTTTTCGGACTGTTAGCCGCTACTTTTTTCCCCCTACACTTTGAACCATGCGGCTTATAAGCCCAGTGCGGCTTTTCTGTGTATTTTTCTTCAACCGCCAGGGGGCTCTTTAACAGGAAGTGAATCATTGGAAGTCAAAATTGGAAATCAAAGAATAAAGTGCTGATTTCTTCAAACTCATATGATGCAGCTTTTAAGTTTTGAGGGCTAATCGATCTGGCAGTACAGGAGGGAAATAGAGCCGCTGCACGTAAACTCGGCGTGAACGAATCCATGGTTCGGCTTTGGAGAAGGAGCCCTCTGCTGCCCTCTGCTGGGTCCTTATGGAAAACCGAGAGCGGCAGAGATACCAGCGGCTTATAGTCCGGTGCGGCTTACATATGTACTTTTCCAGCTTTTTCCGGAAAAAAAAAAGAAGTTTGTAGCTGCGGCTTATAGTATGGTGCGCTCTATTGTCCGGAATGTACGGTAAGTCATACTTGGCGTTTGAGCTTTTAAAATGGGCAGCTATAAGTGACTTTGAAGGGAGTCTCAAGTATTCAGAGATTTCAGCTGTTTGCAAGTGGGTGAATACCTCAAAAACCAGTGCTCCACTCTTCTCACAAGTTTACACACACACTAAGGTCACAGCACTTTTAAAGCTCAGCCGATGCCGACATGGCTTTCTTAGTGTTTTGTGTTTGCTCTTTTGAGTGCAGACAGGCGACATTTAGACTATTGAAAACTTGCTGCTCTCCATCACTGCGGCCTCGCCAGCTGAAAACTAGCAACAGAGTGCCATACGGTCAAAGTCAATGCATATCAGGAAATGGTCGCGATCTAGCAGGAGCTTTGTTTTTTTTTTTTTTTAAACTCTCCTCCACCATATGGCGACCTCTGAACGGCACAGGCCTCGAAGGGATGGGGAAAACTGCTGGCTGGTAAAGACACAGAGGCCGACGGAGGGAACTATACGTTCAGTCGAATGTACCAGGAAGAACACGAAGGACGTGAAGATAGGACTTTCTGTGGCCAACATACAGCTGAAATATCACACATGGGAATAAACTGGCTTCTGTTACCACCGCATGTCTGAAGGGGAGCACACTTGTAACAGAAAATACGAATAAATAAATCTCCCGAGTGAAATAAGTACAGCCGTGCAATCACTGTTTTTGAGAGAGCACAGAAAACACACATACACACACACACTTCCTTTATCTGCAACAAAGCTAAAAGGATAAGGACCAGCACTCTAAGTGCAATAATGAAGCTCTGTGATTAGAATTTAAGGGCATAAATCAGAGGACAAGCAGCTGGTGGATAAGCATAATGAAAATACATATGAATTTTTCATGCAGAAACCTGTGACAATCGTCTGTGTGTGCATTTTCAAACCACTATACATTATTCAACAAAGGCGTGCGGCATGAGACATCTACTTTACTCTTTCAGTTTTACTGGAGACGAAGAAGATTTTGGTTTAATTTGTGAATAAATCGACATTATAATTACATATTAATCCCACAAGGACAACGGGGTCCTTTCAAAGATGAAGTGAGCAATCTTGCATTATGATGCAGATCTTTGAATATAGGAAATAAGGTCACCGTGAAGGCAAAATGCAAAAATCCTTGAGAGTATTAAAAAAAAAAAAAAAGTTATTAGGTGGATAAAAACAAAACAAAACTAAATTACTCTCTTTTTTAATACCCTGGAGAGAAGATTCATTGCAAAAATTAAAAAAAAAAAAAAGAAACCACATGTAAAGCAATAACAGCTGAACTGAGAAAATGGGGGAAAAAAATACATAAAAAAATCCAATCATGATGCATAATAAACCTGAAAGCAATGTCTGTAATTATCAGTAAACAACAATTATGTTCATCACCTTTTGAATTCCAACATGCTTTATCATCACATAAGGCTGCTTTCATGTCTCTTTTTGATTTCTTCACTCCATCAGTAAAGGTAATTATCTCCAACTAGAACTTTATGTAGTTGCACTTCTGTCGCCTGGGAGAAGAAAAAAAAACGGCGAATGACTGCCACCTTAAAAAAATAAATAAAATAAATAAAATCTCTCTCATTGCTTCACTCTGCTAGCAACTCTCCCGCTCCCACCACGTGTAATTCCTCGGCAACAAAGGTGTTTTTTGGAAAGCTCAAAAGATACAGAAAAAAAAAAGAAAAAAGGTTTGGAGAAGGTCTCAGATTTAATAACATTCATGAATATAATGCCACCTTTTAGTTTGAATCTGTTTGTGGGTGGGGGGGAACCCTGACGCCCCCTTGCATCTTCCCATCATAATCCTGGTACAAAAACTGTGACACAAGCATCACTGGTGATACTCCAGTTCCCTTTAGTGGCATCCGAATGAAATTTTAGTGTTTCTGATTGACAGGGTAAATATTAAATTAAAAAAAACACTTGGATGCTGAGTTTAGTAGGACCAATATCAACATACTTCTTAATAGATTAGTGCAGTGGAGAGCATTTTAAGAACTCCAGTCCAAACAGAAAAGAACCAGGAGCATAATTTATCTGCATGCGTCCGTCTGGGGTTGGATCGAGGCACACCATCAAACCCAAAATAATCATGTTCCAAGTCTAAACTCATATCTTTTAAATTTGGTAATTGCTATTTTCAGCTACCAACCAAACAACTAAGCAATTTGCAAAGTTAATGATGCATTTCACCAAATGTCACACGACGCCGATAAATATGGTTGGGATGACAGCTAAACATGCAGAGCAATATTTGCTAAAACACGCTGCAAGCATGAACTGGGTGGCAAAAGAAAATGTCCATGCGGTTTCACCGGTGTTCTCACCTCGACACATTTAAACGTCAGATGAAATCACAGCTGGGAGCTTTTATGAATAAGGTGCCAAAATGTATTATTCTGAATACCGATCCCCATAAAATGGCCTCTTCCCCGTTTGATCTTCACGCAGCCTTTGATTCCACGAGAGAAAAAATGTGCTTTGACGATAAAGAAGCGAGTTAGCTTTGCTCTTTAGATTGTTCCAGGCAGTAGTTACATTGTTAAAAATCTGACCAGATCTGGAACATGTCAGTGAACAAAAGCGTGGATTCTTAGGTTAAACTGTAAAAGATGCCTCTTAGCCAGAATGAGACCATACAGCAAAACTACAAACAGCCCTTTCAAAGTTACAAAAGGCTTTCCAACAAAGGGCAAAGTGATTTTAGTCGGCTGGGTGCTCACCACAACAATAAATGTCAGACAACACCAAAGGCTGTCAAAAGTAGAAAGCTTTACCTTTGATTTTGACGGCAGAAAAACGATTTGTGTCTTATTCACATTTAAAGGGAGTTTGTAAAATAAGTGCTTTAGAAGGGAAGGTCTAGTCGTTTTTGTCACCATGTATGATCTAGGGACAGCTAGCAGGAGGCTGAGCGTAGATATACATGGTCAGTGTGAGCCGTGTTGAACGTAAGAGCCGAGGCTGCATTCGCACTTTACGTGAACGGCTGATTGTCATCCTCACAATAAATTTGAAAGAGAGAAAAAAAAAGAAAAAAAAAGGAGAAAACACTGTAAATGGAGAATAAAACAAGAGCAAGGGCAGATCCCTGAGGTACACCGCAACTCAATTAGGAGAGCAGGAATACATTTTTATTGCCTGGTGCAACATGTATAGACGATGCGTCGAAACCTTCTTTTGGCCAGTTCTTAAACAGTAAAGAATCCCCACTAAAGCCGAGCTAGAAGTAAAAACCATCTTGCGAGCGAGAAGGTTCTAAGGCAGCGGCCTCCGGCTTGTTCTGGGGGTTCCCCCAAAGGGTTCTCAGGCCAGAAGCTGAATGTGGTACTTCCAGCGGGGCTTTGTGTCTGCCCTTCTCAGAGGAATACGTCCAGAAAACCTCCAAAATGCGGTGCCCAGGAGGTACTCTGATCGGATGACTCGCCTCGGTCGACTCGTTTTGGATGCAGAGCAGCAGTGGCTCCGTTGCGAGGCCCCCCCATTGACGATGGAGCGCTACACCCCCTCACCCTTACAGCGAACACTCATTTTGATGTTTGTGAAATATTAACTCTGTTAGACCTCAGTAATGCAACTTCCTTCCCAGAGTTTTCAGACCGTTTCCTCTGTGGAGGATAACAGCTAGATTAAGGAGACTTTTAAAGAACTCCTTCCACCGCCTGATGGTGATATCCTCGCTCCCCCCCTCCCTCTAGAGTTTTCATCACACGCAGCTTTTTCTCCAGTGCCAAATGAAAAGAACGCATTTATGCTTTCAGTATCTTGCATGAAGTTGTGGCGTTCATGTGGTTCAAATTGACAGCATGCTAAGCAACTTATTTTCTAAGGTGCTTCTTACTGAAACCAGTGCAAAAAAACAAACAAACATTTGACTTTTCTATTCTTGGTGTATGAGCAACGTTGCGTGTTGTCCCATTACGTGATCCGCACCGGCATGTGAACCATGACGGTTGAGTACAAATATATGCACCATTACATTGTCTTATCAAATGCAGTAGTCAATCAAATAGGCTCACGAGGTACACCAACACTGTACCTTGAAATCAAGCTAGCATTTTACATGGAAATCCTTGAAGGTGAAACGGGAATGAAATACTGAGCAGATGGAAATAAGTAATCATTAAAGATTAAATTGTTCACTAAAACACCACCTCAAAGCATTTTTCAGAGTTTATTAATATATTCATGCTGTACATTAAAAATACATTTGAGGGCAGACAGTTTAAAGTGGTTTGCCACTTAATTATAAGCTTAAAACACCTCCACTTGTATAGTTAAAGGTTATTACATAAAAGTCACCTATGAAATATAAATACACGTGGTGCGTTAAGTCTTCCCCTTCTGCCAGACGTGTTGCATCGCGTTTATAAAAATAAGAATCTATTAAAAGTTCCAACTTTTAGAATTTTATATATGCAGCCATGCACAAGGAACATTTAAAAGTGGTGCTTAAATTAAAATATAAGAAGCACTATGTATTATATATACACAAACTTACAAAATACATGTTGACCAGTAGAATTGTCAATAAAAAAAAAGTCCTAAAAATGCTCTTAAATACTTTGTACCACTACTGTACAATTAAAAACAAGCTTCTTTAAAGAAACGTTTCAGGCATTAAAGTAAAGGTGGAAATGTTCAAGCTAACTTTTGATTTGCAATCCTCGACAGGATTCCTTAGACTTCTCTCAGTTTCAAAGATCAGCGTTTTAAATCACACCGTGTAGTGCTTTGGGTTAGTACCACATCCGCTGCATCTCCCACCTTGTGCATCCGCTTTCAGCGTTCAGAATCAAAGTTCAACAGCAATGCGCGGGAAAAAAAACAACAACCTGGCTCTTTCCAGCTAAAACTGCAGTTATGTTTTTGTTTTGTTTTTTCCTTCTCTTCAACCTCTGCACCAGTTGCATTTCAACTACCAAGCTTCTTTTCAACGTTTGTCATTCAGTGGTCTTGCGAGCATTCTTGCTGAGGACCAAGTTCAGCTCGTTGAGCAAGTTAGGGGGCATAGCTCCCCCAACGCCTGGTATGGGCTTTTTGCAAGGCGCCTTGTTGCCAGTTTGAGGTAAAACCGGCAGTGGCATGGGCTTCGTGTGTCTCGGCACGGCTGGAGGTGGCAGCCTTTGAGGCTGGCAGATGTCCACAGAGGTTCTGCGCTGAGGAACCTCTGGGGTCTGTGACAGGTAGTCGGGCTTTAAACATTTGGGTATGGTGTTGGTTTTGAGGTGAAGACCAGAGACTCTGGGTGTCCTCAAGTCAGCGTCTCCAAGAGAAACCCTCCTGTCTGTCAACTACAGGGAAAAAAAAAAAGAAGAGACAGTTGTTCTTTTGCATCTTTTAGACAACAACATGTGGTGAGATGAAGATAAACTAAGTCTGAGAAGTTGACTTGCCTGCGTGGTGAAGGTATGGTTGTATGACGGAACCTTGCTGGTTTCTGTTATAGCGCCTCCTCTGGATGTTTTGAGATCGGCGGTTTCTTTGAAGCCACTGGTATTCATCTGGAGATCAGACCCGTGCTAAAGAAACAGGAAGGACCACAAACTTCAAGAAAAATAAAGACAGTTTTAAAATTAACCAAAAAAAAAAAAAAAATCTCAGTTTTGTTCAGGTGGGGGTTATTAAATGTTTGTGTTTGTGTGAAGTTTATACACATATATACACTTAATATATGGACCAAAGTTGCAGCACAACTATTGTCCTGTGTATTATGTATTCGACAGAAATCTGCAAGTAGACTCACTGAGCAGAAAGACTTTGTGAATTGTTGCAAACCGATTAAATTGTCACATTGTCAGGGAAAAAAAAAAAAAAATAATAATAATAAAAAAAGATATCCTCTCCAACCTGTAGGAACAGAAATGTTACGCTACACTTTGTAGATTTTGCAAATGACTTTTAGCAGAGTTGCAGCTGTGACACAAATACAGATTGATACAGACTGATGTATGGCGATCCAGATGGTACATCATTCTTTCACAAATCAAGCAGTAAGCAATGAAAATCGTGACTGGCTGTTTCTCTGAGGTAACCAGGAGAGAAAAAAAAAAACCCCAATCCGAACCGCATCATCTCTTACTGTATAGAAACACTTCAGGGTTTGATAAATGTGCTTGTTAGCTGAAACTGACTTCTATTTTCACAAATTAATCTGCAATTCCTCAGAGCTCCGTTTGATTATACTTTGGTTTAAAGAAATAGGGATCAACATTGATATCCTGGAAGTGAAAATTAGCTCCAAGTTCAATCTGGGAGCTGATTTTTCCAGAGACGGGGCAACAATCGGGTCCATGAGGTGAGAAAGACAAAGATGCTGTAAGCTGGAACTTACACTTTCAGTTTTAGTGCTTTCTTTATCAGGAGATGCACAGCCCATTGCTGCGGAATAATAAACTCGTCTGGGGAGGAAGTCGGAGAAACTGCAAACCCTAACTTCCATTTTTATATCTTTATAGCCAAAAAAGAAAGAAAAGAAAGTGCTTTCTTATCTGATTCTGAATCCGGCGATACGGGAGACACCCAGGAGAACAAACGGCTCGTGAGCCAGTTTGAACCAGAGAGTTGTAAACAGCTGCACCGCTAAAAGAGAGCTTCAGCTTTAAGAGCGTAACTCAGAGACGTCCATAAATATTAGATGGCATTACTGGATGAAGAATGCAGCGTTTGAAAAAAAAAAAAAAAAAAAATCGTACATGCTAATATATCTGAATAGTTTAAGTCTGCAGCCTTTTCCTTCCATTCAAATTTTCATCAATTTGCCTGGACTGCACTCAGTGAGCAACCGGCTTCTGCAAGAATGCGCTGTGGAGGGTCGAACTCATTATCACAACAGGACAACTGTTCAGTCAGCACTCTTCCCTCAGTCTGTGTCAGCCACAACATGATACAGCGCTAAACATCTTTCTGTTCTTGACTGATTGATTTTATATTAAGATCACATTTTCAGTGGAACTAAACTGAAATTAACAAGGGCATGAGTCAAAAATAAACGGAAACAAAAAGCTTCAAATGAGAGACATCAGTGTGGGATGAATGTGCTATGAATGAGCTTCACTTTTACATTTGAACGGCTTAAATCATTTTGCTACTCCATGGATGTTGTGATTTACTGAGGCGTAGCTGTACTCCCCTCCAAGCACGGACACAGAGTCCGAGTGATAAAATTCATGAAGTCCACCCGAGTTCTGATCTCTGGCTAAACCTCCACTTCGACAAGCCCCCCCCCACCCCTCCTTTTGGAAACCACGGCGACCCCCTCGGACCAACAGGAGCCGTGCCTCCTTAACAAACCCTCATTTTCCCGCTGCGAGAACCTGTCCTTGGACCTTTACACCCTCCTCCCAGCCCCTCATCAGTACCATCACTCATTACACCTCGCAGTGGAGTGAGATCCCACCAGCGCCGGTTGCTATGGAAACTGTGGGAGTACAACGCTTGCTAACAGGTAATGGAAATCACGAGAAACCCGAAGCCTCTCGTCTTCCTACTTTCTGGTGCATACGTTTCCCTTTGCCCTTCGCACGGGGGTCTGGTGTCCTTCCCAAGAAAGCTTCCCCGCTGGAAGCTGACAATCCCAGTGTTTAGAGGTTTTAGGAGGAGAATCCTAATACTTTCAGCCCACTCCAGTCTGCTATAGATTTAGCTGTTGCCAAGCTAAAAGCGTCTCCAGAGAGCAGGGAAAGAGTGCACTGAAATAAACACCTTTAAAACAAATACTGCCTTTCCCTTTAGATCAATCTCCCCTGACAGCGTTGCCCTTTTTTTACTCGCTAACCCAAACTAAAGCACTAAAAGGCTTTTACAGTAAGTACCCGTGATAAACAGCACTGTGCCGCAGACAGGTTCCCATAAAGGAGTGCCGATACTGATTAAATGTGCTGAGCACACACACACACACACAAGAAAAAAAAAAAAAACAACTTCAGTTATTTAGATTAAAAATGAGCAGAAAAAGGGGATTTCGCTTATTTATTTCAATGAGAAAATCCGAGTCGCAGCAAGAAATGTTAGGAGGAGACGAGAAGAAGAAGAAGAAAAAAAAAAACAACTTCAGTTATTTAGATTAAAAATGAGCAGAAAAAGGGGATTTCGCTTATTTATTTCAATGAGAAAATCCGAGTCGCAGCAAGAAATGTTAGGAGGAGACGAGAAGAAGAAGAAGAAAAAAAAAAATGTCTCGAGAATATGTGGCATCCATGGCGGCTCTGCCTGCGTTTGCTTTGGCCTGCATTATTTATGTCATATGTGCTGTGTCAGCGGCTGACAGTGACAACACAGCGCTCTGTCTGGGGGCTAAGCACCACAATGTGATTGTTACAGTCGCCTTGACCTTATTTTCACAGCTTTTCCACATAAAGTGATTTATGTCATTGTTGAGTGACCTCGAAAAACTTTACAGTCCTCGCCCTGCTTTATGTGTTTAATGCGCCTTAGCAGCGCTGCAGAAATGACTGATTGGGGGAGGAGGGGGGGAAACATGTGATTTATTTATTTACACCTTCTACTTCTAACAACTTTAAAAGTGAAAGTACATTTATTCTGACAGTAATCCACGGTTGTTTTTGTTGTTGTTTTTTTTTCATTCAAATAGGAGAGGGGAAGCACACAGCCATGTTCAAAAGCTTTGGTTGGCAAGGGGGACAAACTATTCAGCTTTAGCGTATGCGACGACATTTCACACTGTACTTAAATTATTGTGGCAAATAATCGGATGCACATTAATTCCTACCTTTTCCGCCTTGAACTATTTCATTCACAAGGGAGGAAAAATTGTGTGATTTTGCTGTGATCAGCTGAAATGACTTAATCACAATACACTCAGCCACACTGTGACGTCCAGCTGGACGGTGACGCAAACAGAACATCAGCCAATCATATGTCAGCGACTCAACGCGTTCAGGCATCAGCACCTGCTGAACTTGCTAGGGTTCGAATCGACAATTAGAGTAAAGAGGAAAGCGTGCGTCGCGTGGCTTTGAATGTTTCACGGCTGTCGGTGCAAGAAGTGCTGAATATTTTAGAAACCGGTGAATGTTGCCCAAACATCTGTTGGGGTTGGAGAGAAACCGAAGGGAAAACGCGCAGCGGGCGGGCGGCAGTCGTGTGTGGACAGCAGCTCAAATAACTGCTTGTTACAAACGAGGTACATCAAATTAAATCTCCGAGTGTGTGTGGGCTATTGAAGCAGATAAACTACAGCAGCAGAAAACCACACAGGGTCAATTTCTTTGTCAGCTTAAAAAAAAAAAAAAAGTGATATTGAACCTACAACTTATGCAGGCTCAATAAAAGAAAAGGTCGATGTGAGGTTGGAAAGCTTTGTCCGGTCAAATGTAACGATTTTAACCACCACGTTCAGATAGCAGGGTTGGAATCTGGAGGAAACGAAACGACAGCACGGATCCATCTGAACTTTTCGGGCCAGTGGAAGTGGCCTGATGCCCTACTTTTAGCAGGATGACGCAACATGTCACAAAGCTCAGATGATCTGAAAGTGGTTATTTGAACACGACAGTGGGCCTGTAATAGTCTACAGGCTTCTTCTCTATTCGCCAAAAGAGATGAGATGTACGCAGCTAAAAACTCAAGTTCAATGTCACGGATCTTCAGCCACCAAATCTGCAGGAACTGTGTGATGCCACCGTGTAAAAAAAAATCTAATGTAAATCTATGAGGAATGTCTGGTGCAGAGCTCTGCCGCCGGTGCAGAGCTCATTCAAAACTATCGGCAGCACGTATCAATGGAGACTTTTGTACAACAATCTTGTGACAGAAGGGTAAAAGACAGATGCTCTAATGAATCGGCGTTCCAGTCCAATCATTTGTCAGGGGAAGAAAATATAAGGGAGTAATGCTGACATTGAAGCTGATCCCACTGTGGCGTTAACCTCTAATCCAACAAAGTGGGCTCCCTCAATATTCTGTCCAAGCTGCAACAAATAAATAGTGGGATCAAAACGTCCTTCAAAAGCAAGTTCTTCAAACAATTCAACTTCACTTTGGAGAAGGTAAGTGCATTTCAATGCCTGATGAAAGACAGCGGCAGCACGTAAGTGGCTACATGTAATCAGTTACCTTCCCCTAAAAAAATAAAAAAAATAAAAATAAAAAAATAAGCCAAATCTGCTTTTATTTTTTTATTCTGCTCATTTTTAATCTAAATAACTGAAGTTGTTTTTTTAAATACTTTTTTTTTTTTTACTTCGACTTCAGCAATACTGTTTTGAAGTAGCACTACACTTAATTGAGGAAGAACTTTTTTTTTTTTTTTGAAGGACCAGAACCTCAAAGGTACTTTTAAAACTTTTAAAGTGAGTATGATTACATGATTTCAACGTAGAAGCCTTATAAACAAATGCTTTTTTAAAATCTTACTTCAGCAGATGTTTTTACTTCTACTTTTATATAAATATAAAGACCACGTAAAAAAACAAAATTACCTTTAAAAGAAAAAAAAAAAATCAAACCTTTTTTTCCCCCCCAAACCACAGAAAAGTCATTCAAAATTGTTCAAATGTATGCTTTTGGCTGCTTTCTAAAGCGTTTGCGTTAGCAAAGCGCTAACGTGTCCTTGATGTTTTTAGCTGCGACAGATCGTACCTTCAGAGCGATGATGTCTGCCACCCAGCTGATCTGAGTCTCCCTCCTGTCACAGCAGAAGTGCCTGTGGGGGGGGGAGATGAAACTTGGTCACATCACTCACAGATATTCACCTATTTTCTACACGTCACTGCACATTATGTCTTCAAAGGGAACACCTCAGGTATTATCATAAGTGGAGTTGGCAAGAGGCGATTCACTATCATTAGCAGTCACCCAATTGAGTAATTTATCAACCCAACAGCCCGGATGTGAATATGTATTTCATACAGTATTTAAGTGAAAGGACCAATAATGTTTTGAAAATGCATTTGTTACATGTTTTGCTTGTAACGAATACGACTGCATGTTCCATTTATTCTATGACAGAGGAAAGGACGCAAGCCGAATTCCAATGCAGATGCAGTAATGGTCTACATCAGTCTATCTTTCAATTAAATTCATTTTCTCTGCAGGAGAAGCAAAATTACATGAAGGGAAAAATCTGTGATTCAGTGTATCGAGGCATAGGCCGTTTGAAATTAGAATGTAGTCCTAACAAAAAAAAAGAAACAAACAAAAAATTAATTAAAACTAAAATGAATTCGGGTGCATGCTCAAATTAGTTTTTGGTGCAAGGAAAGAGCCGAGAAGCTGCCATACAGCTGACCGAAGGCTTCTTTTATTTTCCCATTGCTGTTTGATGGTAATGTTTTGATTTTCAGGAAAGATTTTAGAAACTTGATTCATATGTTACTTTGTAAAGTGTTGGACTAATAATCAGCCAGGCTCCGCTTTCATGATTCCCACCACCAAACCGATTGTTATCACCCACAATGAACCCATTTAGATCATGAAGAAATCTCCGTCTTACTCACAAGATTTTATTTTATTTATTTTTTTTTTCCCCAATATTTTACAAAGAGAGAGTAAAAAAAAAAAAAAAAAGACAGCTTTAAGTTTTTGTACAGGACTCACCACTGATGTTTATCTGTGTAAACTGTGAAACCCCAGCTGTAAAAAAAAAAGAAGAAAAAAAGAAAAGACATGGATCAGATAAAGCAATGTCTGTGCCATTAAATCCAAGAACACATTTGTTAAAATGGTAGATGGTCTCAACTTATATGGCGCTCTCTAGTCATACTGACCACTCAAATTCACCCATTCACATTCACAGTGCAAGACTAACACTCAACCAACTGATTAACACAAATCCCCAAACTTTAAACCAATAAAAGTTGTGAAGTAAGTACGGTACGCATAGGAAAAAGGTCAAAACCGTAAAGAACGGATCAGAAAAAAACTCATTTTGACCACCTGCTGCTTAACTGTGCAATTAATTAGAGCAATTCCGATGCATATGTTTATGCATGAGCACCCAATGTCCTCCAGGCAAAACACTATGCACACACGGCATTTGCTGCTCATCTAAATAAACCCAAAAGTACGGAGAAACATAATGTGTAGACAAGTTAGGCTAAATGTAAAACCTCTGAAGCTTGGAGTTCACTGTACAACACGGCTAGAACCAGACGCTTACACGCATCAAATAAGAGACATCAGTTTTTTCTTTCCCCCCCCCCCTTCACTGTCTGAAGTAAAGTCAGACCAAACTTCTCTTGTTTTAGGTCAGAATGACCAAAATTAGAACCAAGTGCTAAATGCTACAATAATGAAAGAAAGAATTTGTCAAAGACGTATTTATTGCTTTCTTCAAATCGAGACGTTTACATACATTGTACAGCTCAAGAAGGAGATGTACGATTCTGGACACCATTCTGTGTCCAGAATGGTGTAAAGCACCAAATTTCTGTGCTTCAGAAACTTTCACTGCTATACATTACAATGGGCAAAAGCGTGAAGGGGAGAACAAAACGAGGAAAAAAAAACAAGAGGCAGGGACTGAGATCCTGCAGCTCCACTCCTGCGAGTTAAGGCAGGCGATCCAACGTCGCATCACAGTAGGCCGCTCGCAGACAGAACCCTCCCTAACGAGGTACTGAAGCGCTGGCTCTACCCACCCTCTCAACACAACTCTCTCCATTTTCCTCAGCACTCCGTCTTTATTTCTTTATTCACCGTAATACCGCTTCCCACTGCCCACTCAACAGTACATTTATGATACCACGCTGCACCATCCTCTCTTTTCTGTCCCTCTTTGCCTCCCAGTCCTTCCCTCTTATCTGTTTTTTTTTTTTTTCTCCCTGTGAAGCCCTGAACAATGCACCGCCACTCGCTGGACTCATTTTTCACACTTCCCCTGGCTCTGAAAATTCTGACACGGAGAAAATTATGAGGAATTATGAATACGCAACGTGAGTTATGGGGCTGGTTTCCGAAAGATTCGCTCTTTGATTCAGCAGCGGAAACCCGCCGCTGCAGCTTCGGCACGTGTCGTAAGCTACGATAACAAATTAACCATTTGGATTTGTTGAAACAGATACGCGTTGAATCCTTCTCGCCTAAGTTTAAAATGAACTGGTGTGCTATGTTTCCTCGGAGGAGGAACAGTAGTAGTAGCTGCACATTGCTAAAATCTTGATTGTAATTAGACACATCACACAAAGATCAGAAAAACATAAAAACGATTTAAAACTGTTAGTTTTAACTTTATTTGACAAACTTAGAAGTGAGGGAATGAAAAAAAAAATACAGACACAAGTGTCACAGACTGCTTGCTTACGAGCAAACGACGACCATAATTTGTCCTCGACAAGAAAACTGGTGATCCTTTCCAACATCAAGTAGCTTTAGACTTTAATTTCACAGCAGCTGCAGACACACTTAAAGGGAACAAAGTTCATTTTGCCGCATTCGGTTCAAGTTCTCTAGGTGAATGACAATGGCATGTCCTGGTGTTCTCAGGAAATGCCAACGGCGTTCATGAATCCTCTCGGTGTGTTCGCGCGCTACGTTGTACGTACGTCTGGAATTCTAATTTGCTGGGAATTGTTTAAGAAGACGCGCCGTCTCCGGAAGATAAAACTGTCAAGATCCTATCTATTTCACAACAAGAGACGTTTCTCTTTAAACTGACTGCAAGTCTTTTACAGCGTGGTGAACACCGCTTTTCACTTCAGAAGGACTTTCCCTCTCTTGGATGTTTCCTTTTTATTCCCAGTCACGTTACTGACACGCTGCAAATTTTCCTAATTATTTGTGAAATGTTCCACAGGGCTTCTTTTGAACCTCACACAGTTTTATCGCGCTTTTGCTGGCTTTGTTACAGACTTTTTTTGATCTGTGTTGCTGGAATCAAATCCTACATAAGACAAAAGCTCACAGAGGTTCAATGTGTTTCTTTTGTACATTTTTTTTTCTTTTTTTACCGTTTATAGATGTTTTTTAATTATATATATTTTTTATATTTTAAGCACATACACTCTCCGGTATTTTTTATTTATTTTTTTAATCAAGGTAATTGAAAAGATGCTATTAATTTTTAATAAAATGGATAATTTACTTCACAAGAAACAGAGTCAAGCAAAGGCGAAAACAGGAATATATCGCAACTGATATCATTGTTGTGATATTTACCAATCGCCATTGCAGAATTTTATAACATTGAGCTACCTTATCCAATACTGACTGCATATAGCGATATTGCTCTGCTAAATTTCCAATATATTGTACAGGTTTATTTACAGCGAGAAATCTAACTGAAAAGCTGAACTTGAACTGCGATAAACGTCTTATATAGTACTAAGGTCTCCTGGAGAATAAAAATTGCAGAAGTTTATTTGTTGCTGCTAACCCTGTGTAAGATTATAGTCCGGAAAAGTCAAATAAAAGTCGAGGCGATGGGCTTTTTCTGTAGATGTTAGGCTGTTGCTACGTTTCTCAGCGTTTCAACTTTATTCTTGAAAACATCGACAATTTTCAGAACTGAAAAAAAAAAAAAAAAATTAACCACTATTTTCTTTTCTTTAAGCGAACCCAACAACCCTTTTCCTTTAAACAAGGCCGGGCAGAATTCAAAATTTATTTCGCCACCGGGCAAAATGAAGAGAAGAAGAAAACGGTGAGGGCGTTAAGAACCACGAAGAAGACCTTGCATTGCATGAGTTGCATGGCAGTCAGTTATAAAGCATGTTGCTCCAACCTAGAGTTGAGCCACAAGACTGGATACGCAGGATGATGAGGGATTCAATAGCTGCTAGAAAATTGCACTAAACTCTGGCATTTTACAGTCACCAAATCTCCATGACAACCAAGTAGATGCCAACAGTGATGTCAGAAAAGATGCACCCCCCCCTACTGTCGCAACTGTCAACAGGGGGAGCTCACTAAACCCAACTGGGACTGTAGCGAGAACAAGATTGAGCTTTTATAGATGATCCAAACAACAACAACAAATGTGGCCACTACTTGTATTCTTCAATACATCACCAACACGGTGAGCTTTCTTTCTTGAGAAGCACATGTCACCACTTTCCCATCAACTGTTTGCTCACAGATTTGTCAGAAAGGTTCGTGTCATTCAAATGCAAAAACTGGACAATTAATTAACGAAGCATTCTACCGTGAATCCCTGACATTCATACGTTTACGTTAAAGCTCATTATTTAACGCCTCCTTGCTCACATGTTGCTCCAAATGTTCGCTCTACGTCTACAGTAACTTTAAGTTTTAATTGGATTTCTGTCAAAGTCACCCCACTTCAGCTGTACTAATTTACCTCACAGGTAAAAGATAACAGTGAACACGCAATGCAACAAGTGCAACCGAGATAAAATTCTATATATATACATTTTTTTTCCACCCCCGTTTCTAGACATGTGTAGACTTCAGAATTCAGAGAAAATGTTACTGCTCACTTGCATGGAGGTTTGAGCTTTTTCTTCAGGCCCAGGTAACATTTTACCATCTTCAACTGAATCTCTTTCTCCGCTTTAGTGTTCTGTACAAAAAAAAAATAGAAGAAACATTAGAGGACAAGAGAAATAAGACACAGATGAACATTTTGGCAATAAAAGCGTATGCAAAAAGAAAACGCGACGAGCTAAACTAAAATCACCAAGTAACAATCTCACAGAAAAGGCAGCAATCAGTTTGAATCATTATCGGCAAACCCAATCCTCCGACTGCCAAAGAACAAAGTGAAGGAGAACAAAGCAAACAAAATCAAAGTTGGAGCTTTGCTTCTGACACCTACACATCAAAACCCACACCCCGTTCTCCGTTTCATCCAGCGTAATTTGCACTAAATGCAGACCTGGCAATAATTACAGAGGCCAAAGAATATCAATTAAATTGCAGTAACACTTCTAATTTACCTTGTATTTATGCAGTAATTAGCCACATTCTTCTGCAACCTCATATTTAGAGAAACTCGCAGAGCAAGAACTCCCCTCTCTCTTTCTCACACACACATGGAGATATATATATATATATATATATATATATATAT